GATTGCTATTTGAATTTTTTAAAGTATCTAGTTTATTTATTTATTTATTGTTTCATAAAGTTTTATTATGCATTAATTGCTATGAATTAATTTTTGTTTTCTTGCATGGCTCAAGTGTTATTATTCATAAAACTAACGACTCATATAAAATGTTAAAAAATAGTTTGAGTGAATTTCTTTATATTAACACACAGTTGAAACGAATGAAAGTAAAAACTAAAAAGAACCAATGCTGCAATAAAAAAAAAAAAAAAATTATTGGAACACCCCAAGAAAACATGAAAAGAGCTTACCCGACGTGTCCAGTACCTATCAATAATTCCACAAAAGCCCACAACAACAAGTTCCCACGACGAAAAGCCCAACCACTTGTTTACCTACCCGAAAAATCCAGATCGATGAACAAAGCCACCCCAGCATCCTCGGTGAGGAAAAAAACACCACTCCCTCCCCCTCACATCCGGGTCCTCGAAAACCGAGCAACACACTTCCCGTCTCGTTAGCACGCGCTACCGCAAACAGCTCGCAGAAGCCCGATGATACCATACACTCCACCTCGATATCGATCCCCCGCTCTCGCACACAACCCAGGTGGGGGGGAGGGGGGGTACAAAAAAAAGGAGCATCATCCGCGTTAATCCACACTCGACACGACCCTCTCACGCGCGTGCCGTAGCCAAAGATGCTCTGTAAGACGAGGTGCTGATCATCCGGTACAACAAGCAAATCATCCAAATTAATATGAGTATACGTGTGCGTACAGGTGGTGAGGAGCAAGGCAACAACGCGCTGTCTCTGGCACGCCTGCAAGGCTCTAGGTGTTGGTTTGCTGCTCATGCTGCTGGGCGCCTGTATGGCTACTATTGGTAATTATATGCCCAACCAAGGAGGATGGTATACGTGCTGATGACAGCTGATGATGGGCTTTGCGTGCAATATTTGTTTGGACGTGTTATTTTGCCATTCTGCCGTTTATCGTTGAACGTGATTAAGTTTGCAAGGAATATCAAATTGGTTTATCTCGTGAATCCAATTATTGTTGCTTTTGATACGCTTGCGGGTAACGCTGAATGTAGAAACAAAAGAATGTTTTTTTTTTGTCTCATCTCGTTTCGGGAGAACCCTCCTTGCTAGTCAAATATTACACCGTTGTACGAAATGCATAAATAACAAATTCGAGCAAAGTAGATTAATCAACGCGGCTTTGGTATATCTCTGCTATTAATCATCTCGCATCGAGCCAATAAACAGGGATTTATTACGAGTAAATCCAATACTTGCTAACGGAAGTGTGTAAAGAGTTTAACAGTAGCCGGTATGATAAATACTGCGACCAGCAGATCGATTTAAAATCAAAGTTTCATCTGAAAAATTTGATGGTGAACTCTATTAAAGGAAAAAGCGGAAAAATGTAAATTGAAAATAATGTGAGTTTTCAAAAAGGGGATGCACACAAAGGCTTTCTTCGTAGCAATCAATCAATCAATCAATAATCATAAAAAAAAAAAAAGAAAGAAAACTTTTTTTTCCTTTTGTCAAACAGGTTATTACGCAGATCAGTTGTCCGTAGCGCAAGAGATCCGCGGCAACTTGACGGTAAGAGTCAAGAACGAGTCCCGAGGTATTCACCTCAACAACCTCAGCTACGCTGGACCCATAGTCATGGGCTTCGGAGGTAAGTGGAGCAGCAACAACAACCACCACCCCTTATCCCACCCCTCAAATCCCAATTCAATTTATTCTTCCCCTTATTGTACGTGACATAATATAGGATTATGGATCATACAAAAGTACTTCCAAGCAGATGGTGGGAGGGAGAGAACAATCGTAAAGCTCAAACGTTGCAAACTCAGCGGTCTCGATCCGCAGCAAAAGCTCGTGTATTTCCATCCAAGCGCTTCTGTTGAACGTATACATGCATACATACATACAACTGCAGCGTAAAGGCTCTGAGCTAATCGCGATCCCGTTGAGAACAATGGGGAGAGGTGGGGCGACGCGGACAGTACCAAAGAGAGAGCATAATGGTACACAACAATATAAAACGGAGCGGAGCGACAGGCGTCTGGAAAATAAGCTGCCGCTGCGAGGGGGAAAGTAGGCCGGGACTCTCGCGACGCGTATACCTATACGTCGATCGATCGAGCGCACGTGGTGGTGGTGCGTTTTATGTACACATATACCCTATACAAGAAGCTATGGTAACTGCGAGAGAGCATACGACGCGTGTAGGTATGTGCGGTGGATGTACAACAGGCGTTTGGAAGATAATGCGTAAGTTGAGGTACAAAGGGTTGATTAAGCGTCGCGAAAGTTGGACGATTCGACAGGGTTGACCGAGGGGGTGACAGGTAAAATTAGAAAAAAAATTGCCCCTAGAGAGATTTGAACTCTCGACCCCTGGTTTACAAGACCAGTGCTCTAACCCCTGAGCTATAGAGGCGGTTGCGGGCAGCGCAGTCGGAGCCCAATGCAGTGGACGATCCTGTTTTTGGGCTCAGTGATGGCTTTTCTTGTGATTTTTTTTCCATTGTTACGTAGGGAAGATATTGGTAAGGAGGTGCTTCGCGAGAATGATCAACACTTATTATTTCAAGGTTTTTCGGGGTTTTTTATTTATTAATTTTTTTCTCTGTAAGAATATTTTTTTAATCGTTTAAAAATTTTATTTCCTCTTCTTTTTTCTTAAGAGATATTTTTTTTATTTCATAG